CCACCTCTTGGGCGACGCGGCGCGAGATAAGGTGAGATTAGTACGTGCCAGGAAAAACAGTCGTTTTGAAGAACACATGTACTGTCGACAACGGTTATAGCGAACCTCTAGGGACTAACTTCGCTACATCAGATATTCGTTATATCAGATGACCCCGAAATACAATACAGTTTTTCAGCTATAATTGGTTGGATTATTTCAGAGGTACAGTCAAATACCCAATCGCCGCCAATTCAATAATTCATTATCGTCGTGCTTTCTACACACTGAAATTGACATTGTCCACAGACTCTAAATACCTGTCACTAGTTTTCAACTACATTTATAAAGTCTTCAGGCTTAATGGAAATGCCACTAACAAGATCAAAAATATTTCCTCTGTGGCACGGTTCCCTCAATCACATTCATTCAACATAAATGTTACAAATATTACTTGTTTGGGGTTTAGACTTGTTATGTCCAAACCCATTATCTTATATGAATTCAGGGAATTGATGTGAATTTTTTTTTCTGGAAGATTTATTTAATAAGTTCACTATAACCAATATTAAGAGTTCACTACAACCGAATCTTCTAGTGCATATTTGATATGTATGTGGATCGGGACTAGTGACGTCAGTTCACTATAACCGTGAGTGCAGCCTATATCCGAGTTCACAATATCCAGAGTCGATTTGTGTACATTACGGGAAAATACTCAGTCTGGTGAATCCTTAAATAGCCAATAAACGGTCAATGTTGGTATTGTCAAAAAGGAGTGGCTAAAGTCCGAAATGGGAACTGCTTCCAAGTATACTTCGTCTTGAGCCTGAGAAAGTTGGCATTAGCCAACCTGTAGTGGCTAGGGTAGGTGAAGTACACCAGTGTTAAGGAATAGTAAATATTATGTGTTAAGCAGGGATCACATAGCTGGTGAGAACTTTCTAAGGAAAGGCAGGAAGGGGCGGAATTGAGTAGAATAGAAGCAGACCCGCCTCAGGGCATGGAATTCTTCTTCCTGTATAATAAATTATTGTGATAAATACTGATCAAGAATATAGCAAGGTAATACAGCAAGTAAAACTATACAGAAAACTGGAGTTATTCAAGGTTCTACGATTCAGTTGAAACATTCCAAACAAAACGAAAGTCTTATGACCGAGAGAAACCACGAAAAACTCCGCTCAGGTTGGCTGATCCGGAGATCGAACCCCCTTACTTGAACCCCCTCATTGATCTCATTTGAAGATCTGTCTCATAAGAACACATTTCATTAAGAAAAAAAGATATTTATAATTGTAATGGTATGAAAACGTGGAAAAAAGTGTACCTCTGCAATTTTCGAAAAATTAGGGATTTTAACGAATATGGAACTTGCACTATTCTCTTAAGGGCCCTTTACGGTATCTGACAACTAAATTCAATATAAAACATTGGATCCATATTTTGATAATGTCGCAGTGGTTTAATGTAAAGTTCCCCTAAAAATTAAAATATCGGTTTCAAATTCAAAGGGCCGCGATATCTTCCAGATCGATCGGAGAATATCAATTTTGGAGAAAATCTGTTGAATGGTTTAGTGTTGATCACAGACGGACATCAAGGGTCCACAAAACATGGATTCTGACTACGCAATGTGTTAGAGGAAATAATATAATATAAACAAAATATTAATAAACATATAAGGACATATAATAATACATATAAGGACATATAATAAACATATTGGACGGCGGCGATGGTGTGACGGTTAGCGTACTGGACTGTTGTACCCAAGTTGGCGGGTTCAAACCCGATCGAAGCCGTGGATTTTTAAGGGCGAAAAAATCCTTCGTACGCCTTCCTTCGGAGGGGAAGTAAAGCCGGCTGTCCCATGTTCGTAGATTTACTTGCATGTAAAAGATCCTCAAGCCTAAATGACGCCTCTGAGCTAAATTCAAATCGCCTGTTTCTCGCCCAAGAAATACCTCCTCTCTCTCCTAGTCGGTGAAAGGAGCGTAGCAAAATTTGCGTGGTCAGACGGAAGAGCGGGCCTGATGGCCCGAGTCTCGCCACGTAAAATAAGGCCAATTCAATTCAATTCAATTCAAGGACGCGATGTATCTACATTTTCATTGCGAGGACCCGGCAGTAGAAGTTCTTCTGTAATAAATTCGCCATTTTTTCCCCACAGCATCACACTAGTTTCTTTAGCTAGAAAGTAAAAACCTCTATCTTCGATATTGTAATAGGAAAACACTAAACAGAAATTAAAGTTTTGAAATTTATGTGAATGTATTCAATGAAAATTACTCCGTATATACGTACATATTCGGGAAAGTTGAAATGGATTGTATATTTTAAATTGTAATCATTGCAAATGCAGCTTATGTAGGCCAGACAGGAAGAAAATTTATTCATAGAGTGAATGAACATACTAGTGTATGGAAACAAAACCAAGGAAATTCAAATTTTGACTCATAAAAATGTTAGCTTGTAATAAAAATAGTTACATTTTTTATTGTTTCATGAATATTTATGGCGGAATCTGAATTGTAATTCCCTCCATCTTGAAACACTTTTGTACATGTATTGTTTTTAAACTCCCATTATCAATACCGTGTCTGTAACTCTTAATAGGGATATAGTGCTTTAACAGTTAAGAGTGATAAAACAAGGTTACTTAGTTCATGACCTAAGTAACTTTGGATTATCATTCTTAAGTATTTTCAAACTATTCATATCTCGAAATACAATTCAACATTGCATATCATTTCAACCGATCTTTCGCTCTACCGTAGACGTTTTACAAGAAAGACAATCATTGAAATTATTGTAAATTATTTACTTCACTCGATATTTCAATAGTTTATTAGTATTAACTAATACTTTTGTTCAAACATGCACATATTTCTCCAAGTGTAAAATAATACGATTTTCCATTGCTACCGACTCGTTTAGGTACATGCATAGAAAATGCCAGAAAATATAAAACAATCTATCAAAATTGTAAAAGATTGGTCAACGTCAGCACGAAAACGAAAAGCAATTAGAGGAGAGATGATAAATTTACTTGACAGCTTTACAGAGAGCAAAGAGGTCAGCTCTAATCTTAAACGCTTACTACTAACGTGCTCTTTGCTGCAACACGGGGGCATATGTTTCACCAATGAGGAGAACACGTGAAATATTGGGCCAGGGTTAGATGTAGACCTAAATTACACGGGGACTTATCAGTGCGTGCAACTCTTAGCTCGAATCGCGTGACATCGGCTATGCGTGGTTCAGGGTTCGGGCGAAAACCGCTTCGATCGCTATTTCCACTCCGCATCTCTCCTAATACACACCTCGCTTCGTCGATACACGTTATCGCAAGTGGCCGTCGCTAAGGGCACACGCCTCCACCGTGACCCACGATACAATCATCACCACCGTCACCGTCTTCCATCCACAGGGGCTTCTGCCTCCACAGCGGCTGAGCTGGCTTTGCAGCGTCTCTGATCGCTGGGTCCTAAGTTTCGAGTCCTGAAATACACAGTCAGAAATATTAAATTTTTATGTAGATAAATGTATTCCACATGAAACTTAATGTAAACTTGTACATTAAAAAGAGCTTAATATATTTGTACATTAAATTTAGAGCATAACTTGAAATCAACGTAGATTTATTGTAGAGGTTCTCCCGTTTTCCCGGCCTCGTATCATTCACATCGTATATTCATAATCACCAGTCCATCAAGATCATTAATTCATCTATTCCTTCTAGATATGACGATAAAGATTTGACTCTTGCATTCTAATGTACATGTGTACATTAATTTAATGATCGTTCACGATAATTACTTGCATGCAATTTACATTTTTTTAAAAATTTCTGACAGTGTACCTTATAAAGGTATTTCAATAGTTATGTCAATAATAGGTATGTCAATAGGGGCCTCGCACCCCTCCGAGATCTTTCTCTTCAAACTTTTCCCCTACGAACATTTACTTACATGAACTACACTACCATACAAATTGGGAGGCCAATTGGGAGCTTAAAGGCTGTCTCGATTTGGGGCGATACTCCGCTATGTAAAATACGTGGAGGGGGAACTTCACTAAATCCGACGTACAGGTCGGCGCTGTATCTCATCATTCAGAGCTGAAAGAACACCGACTCCTCCCGATAAAAAACATTCACTAAACTAACGGGACTAATGACCACATCACTTGACGTGCCCGAGAACATCACGCGATCAGTTTTGCCTCCGACTTTTCGCCGCCCACGCAGAGTGGCAATGGGCGGCAACCGCCGTTGCGTGTCGCGGTCGCTGTACGCCAGAGACAATGATGCGAATCGCCCTCCAAACGTTTACAAACCAGCGGTAGCGGCAGGCCCTATTACACACACACATACACACAAACACTGCAGATGTAGGCCGCCGATCCGAAACCGGCTTTGCGTGTTCCGTTTCTGTATTCGGCTCTTCATTCCAGCTAAGGAAAGCGTTTACACCCAGCAAACGTAACAAAGCGGATACGGCAGTACGAAATGAATATTTTATGTTTAAAGTGACTTTAAGGTCTCTTTTTACTTTCTCGCCACTACTTCGGAAGAGGTGACAGTATTGAAAATCGGCGAATTTTTCACAGAAAAAAAATTTGTCCAGTTCCCTGATCCATTGAGCAAATGCTGAGATGGCCCCTTGTTTTGCTTCTGGACGTAGATGTAGCTTCACTAAGCGGACGTTTTGTTGAACTCTGCTTTTGCTTGTAATGGTACGGAAGAGTTGCTATTTTGTTAGCAAATGCAAAAAAATCATACTGGCAATACGTGTACCGATGCAAATAAATTTTCTATAACTGAGAAACGAAAATGACTATTTCAAATATTGCTAATCTTGCGATTTTTAAAATGTATTTTTATACATTTATGTTAAAGGTTTACTCATCATTCAACTATTTATAATTAAAATGACGGGGAGGGATTCTGGAACTCAAGAAAACGTACGCAGATAATCTTTCCCCCCTACGTCACATACAGTTTTTACTTTTTTTGACTGAATAAATCTAAATTCACGTCCAAATCTAAATCTAAAAACTCTTATTGCCGGGCCCTGGTAACGAAAAAGGGTAACTCTTGTTCCTAGTTTACTTCTTGCTCTAACATGCTGCGTTGCCAGAATCCATGTTTTGTGTTTGTTTGCCCATGTGTGTGTCCATCTGTCTGTCGTTGGGACAATATATTCAAAATTTTAAAAGCAATTTTTTTGTTCTTTGCTACATACGCAAAAGAAAATTTACAGCCATTTGTGAGAAAATAATCTTTTATAAATATTACCGAAGAGTTTGTAGCCTTATTCTACGTAAGCAGTATGCGAGAAAGTATAATAATTAAAAGATAATACATAGTACGATGATGACAGCGTTGACAAAAAATGGAAACAGATCGAAAAATATATAATAGTAACTATTAAACATAACAGTATTGTAATATTGTCCAATTATGCTCGTCTTAACACGAATTACACGTTACTCTTGTCTGAATATGCAATGATAAGTGCTGTATAAGCTTTCACAAGTAATAAATTTTCCTCAAATTGTCTTTACTAATGCTACTGCATTACTACAACTGAATTCAGATTTCAACATGTAAATGTAGGGATACCAGAATTTAGGGCAGACGGACGGACAGACTGACAGACGGACAGACCG